GTGCAGGGAAATTTGTGTAAAAAAAAGGAACATGTGTCGAGTTCAGGACGAGCTTCCACAGTTACTGCTATGTTTTGGAGGTCTAACAAGTCTCCGCAAGTAGGAGAGTTCGACGTTTCTCTTAAGAATTATGCTCTAACTGGAATCGAGGTACTCTCCTTGATCATATATTCCCACAGGAGGAACTGATTCAGAATCAATCAGTGATTCTTCTCCCTCTAACACTGTGATTTGGTTTCGGGTTTAGGATGCTTCAGGAAATCAGTCGACACAAAATGTTATTTCACTTTCAGTTGTTTCTTCGATATCAGAGATACAAGCAGCTGAATGGGACGCATGTGCCTTGGATTCTTCGGAACCTCAAAGCTATAATCCATTTCTGATGCATGGCTTTCTTTCAACCTTAGAAGAGACAGGCTGTGCTGTTCGGGTCCGTCCGTAAAAACTAATGACTCTGACTTTGTTTTTGTCTTTCTTATACGCATCTCTATCTATCTTTCTTTGCAGGAAACAGGCTGGATGCCATTCCATGTTGTTGCAAAGGATGAATCTGACAACATTTTGGGCGTTGCTCCACTTTATCTCAAAAGGTTTTTTTTTTCTTTTTTACATGTGATGTGAATGCTTCTTTTGATCCATGATGATTACTATTCTCATCCACTGTCGTCACATGTGTCGTAGCCATTCCTACGGTGAATTTGTTTTTGACCACTCTTGGGCGGATGCATACCGCAGTTTTGGCGGAAGATATTATCCTAAACTCCAGTGCTGTGTTCCTTTCACTCCGGTTACTGGCCCTAGGATTCTCACCCGTAATAATCCTTGCAAAGACCAAGTTTTTGATGCTATTGTTTCTGCCATGACTGAACTGGCAGCTAAGGTATGATGTGTCTGTCGTATTGTAGATCAAAACAAGGACTAGGAACACATATTGACTTTGGTAACATGATTAAGCTTGTGATCTCATCTCATGGTATACAGAACTATTTTTTTTTACTATGTATTAGCTCACCTTTTTACCTTCTACGAGCTGTAACGGTTCTCTTGCTATGAGTGTGCTTTCAACATATTCTATCTGCTGTCAGATTAGTTATTCTGTGCACTTTGGCAGTTACAAGTTTCATCTTTGCACATTACCTTTCCATCTGGAGCTGAGTGGGACAAATTGAAGGAGAAAGGCTTCTCGCAGAGGATTGGAATGCAGTACCACTGGAAAAATCGTGACTATAAAACGTAATTGAAGTTTCTTTGCCAAACTTTTTAATAATTAGTGGACTGGTTATAATAGTTGCTTTTATATTTTGATTATTGTTATAATTAAGTTATACGGAAAACCACTACTTCAGAGTCGTAGGGTTCACTTGTAGATGCTTTTGGAGAAGATTCTTAACTGTTCAGCAATCTTACTTCAACTTAAGACATTGTTGTTTAACAGTTTAGGTATATGTTCTAAAATTCCTCATTCATAATGAGTGAAAGACTGACTGTTGTAGCTTACATATATCCGGATTATGTTGAGGGTTTGGTGATATGACGAATATCTGAGACCCTTTAATATTATATTCCAAGTCTGTGAAGCAATTGATGCCTTTGATCTGATTTGGTTATACTAATAATCATGCATCAGTTTCTGCCTGGTCATGATCTGCTGACTTCCAACTTTATTCACTTAAAAGTAACATATGACTGACGCTAACTTTTTTATCTCAAATGCTTCAGTTTTGATGAGTTCTTGATGGACATAAAACAAAGCAAAAGGAAAAATATCCGGCAGGAACGCAAAAAGGTTTGTTTGTTTTCCTCTTTCTATATCATCGTAGTGACAAATGAAATAAACCTAGTTCATAAGTAGCAAGACAGATATGCGAACAAACATATAAAGGATTGATAATGCAGGTAAAACACAAGCAATTGAAAAGGTCTTATCTAAGCTAATGGATCGAAATGCAAGGAACCACTTGTGGCTTTATGCAAGTCATTTGGGCGAGAGATCATCTAATCTTAGAAGATATATGCATAATGCATTTGGAGAATTATAAAAGTCTGAAAATGACTAAGAGACGTCTTGCCTCAAATTTATATTTTGTTTCATCCTTTATTGGCTTGGAAATGGAAAAGTAAAAAGGAAATAGATACACACTTGTTGTGCAAGTAGTTGGGATTTATCCTTGTCTGTTAAGTTCCTTTGCCCTCGTGGATAGTTAAATGGAATGGTTTTTCCTACTGTAACCTTATTTCTTTATCCTTATGGCGCTTTTGAAGCATGCTGCTGACTTCTAATGCTCTTTTTCTCTAGTAGATTGTTACCCAGAACTTGAAAATGAGACGGCTACGAGGAGATGAAATAAAGGTACATAACTGGACTGCTACGAAATGACACTATATTCTCTAATTGATTATTCCTCAACGTATCTTTTCATTTTAATGGCTATAATCAACCCTGGGATCTGATTACCCTGATCATTTCTGCATTAGAATTGATAGGACATGGTAGGAAAGATATTTCTTTCTGCATTATGTGGCTTCTAGAATAATGTGTCTTCAGATTTTATTGTATCTGGCTTAAATCAATGAAATTTTCAATCCATCTTTTGTTCCTAATGGTTTTGCAGGCTAGGCACTGGGATTCCTTCTATGATTTCTACAGGAACACAACTGATAACAAGTTTAGTCCAAATCATTGAGACAAATTGTTTTTTCTTATCATAAAGCGCATATATATACACGTGTCTCTGTGTATAATGCACATTGGCATGCTACAACTGCTTTGCACCTACATCGTAATTCTGGAAATACATATGCTTGTACTTTCAAATGCTTAACGTTTTCTGGATGTTTGTAGATGGGGAACACCTTATCTGACAAGGGAGTTCTTTCACGACATGGCATCAAAGTTGGGAGACGGGGTATTACTTGTTCTTGCTGAAGAAAA